TAACCAAAATCGTATGTGTGTGCGTGTGTGTGGTTACGTATGTGTGTATATAGGTGTGTGATTATGTGGGTATGTATGTGTGGCAGAGCATCGACAGTGGTAGTGGGGAGCGGAGGTACAACAAATTTGATGGGTGAACAGACCTAACGGAGGCGGATAGGATGAAGACGTTTGAAGAATAAATGACTTTTAGCAAATTGTAAAAGTACGGCTGTCCTGATTTGAAAGACTATTAGCGCTTGGGGATATTTAGAAAATTGCCCTTTTTTTACCATCAGTTGATTTTAGAATGAATGGTTTTTCATGAATATATTTACTATATCAATTTTACTCATTGCGTGCAAAAAAAAAAAATAAGATAATAAAATAATACGAGTTGCTTCGGATATAATATATACGATGGCGTAGGATCTACACCCTGAAGGCCTCACTACAAATCTTAGTTCTTTTAAACTGTCGGAAAGTACAGCAAACGTTGGATCTTAGAGCGAATGGACGGAAAATAATAAGTATGAGAGAGAGTTTTGGAGAGAATATAAAGTGTTCTTATTGATGTTAAGTCATGTCTCTAATCGTTACGTTACATTTGTTTATATAGACCTAAAGACTGACATTTCCCATCCTTAGACCCTTTTAATTTGCTCTTTATTCATTACTATTATCTTGCTATCTATAATTGCAATTATCTTCATCTATTTATGTAACACAGCTTTTGGGTCTTCTTTCCCAATTGTTCTCATTTAACTTGTCACCTATCCCATTGATTTGTCTGTAGCATGTTTGGATGGACTGGTGAGCTCGTTGACCGCATAACCTAGAGACATCGTTTAAGTGAGTTTGATACTAAGAGTTTTCTTCGAACGTGCTTCTTAAGAGGCATTGTCTTTCACACATATTCGGTCGATGGACCCAATAAATCTCTTGCAAATATGTTTTACCTTTATTACTATTTAATAAGCGCAATATAGAGGGTTTGACCCAACCTTACCAAACTGATCCATCATTATCAAGATAGATATCTGTTAACTTGAAAGTTTATACAAAATCTTTGACATAGGTGGTGTTTGCAAATGATTATTTAAAAGCAGAAGTTAGTGATTGTGATTTAAGTTAGTTTTAAGTGCTTATTTCTAAAAGTTGGGGGTGTTTGCAAATATTTCGGAAAATGAACTAAAATTGGAAAAGCAGGGTTAGGGTTGCTTTTAAAAAAATAGCTTAAAGCAGATTATTTTAAGAGAAGCAAAAGCAAAAGTTGATTTTGCAAACACCTAAAAACAGATTATGAGCAAAAAAAACCGCATAATCACTTTCAAAAAGCATTTGCAAACACCACCATAGTCCAAGATGTATATCAAATGTAACATCACTTAATTGTATATTAGATAATAAGCAACGAAGTCTCACAAATGTGTAGGTCCATTAGTACTGCTAATTCAAAGTTGTTGTCAATAAGTTTTTTTATGTAATGGTAAGTTAAGGGTCCCAAACTATGAATTAGTCATCCATAAATATTTCTTTCAAGCCCGATTATATATGTCGGGCATTAGTCTATATTGATATTTGATACTAAATGTGGCTTTTGGTCCTTAATTCACGTACATCTTGATGTATGGAACATTATATGACTAAGTGACTTTACGAGGAAAAAATACCTACAAAAAGATTAAGTTTCGAGATCGCCTCGAACTTAATTACACCCCTAGACATATATATATATATATATATATATATATATATATATATATATATATATATATATATATATATATATATATATATATATATATATATATATATATATATATATATATATATATATATATATGTATATATATATATAGAAAAAGATAGATATTGATTTATATATTATGTTTATTTCAAATATATGTGTGTCCGTCACAATAAGATATTTAGATACAAGTAGAGAAAAAAAAAACGAGCTCCTCGACTCTTGAAATATTATCGCATAAAAATATTTATTTAGAGAGACACAAACACATATATTTGTTTTACATATACCTAAAAATATATTATGTGCAGAAAAAACACTCATACTCTATTTTTAATTTTCGTGCAAATACCACCTTATTCCTAAACATACTCTCTAACCACCCATACGTTTGTGTCACACTTAAAAGGTGAAAAAACGTGTGTGTGTGACAAAACCTCTACATAATGGGCGATGATCAATATTTTTTTTTATAATACGCGAATATCTTTTGAGAGCGTGG